AGGGGTGGGGGGGTGGGGCACAGCATAAGCCTTTGGTCTAGAATTCCAGGCATGAGAGTCCCTGAAAGGAGTGTTCAGCCTTAAGGAAGAAGGGAGGGATATTTTAAATAGGACCGGGGATCGGGGCATCAATCCTAATTTATCAAGTCTCGGGAATGTCATTGAGCACACGTGGGCATCAGCGTCATCAGGGCTCCGTTACAGTGAACCCTCCTGGGGGGGCGGGCGGGGGTGATGGAATCCTGTGTGTGTGTGCACGGTGGGCAAAGATGGGTCTTGAAAGAGGGAGGATTCTTTGTGCACATCAGCAACCATGGTTCCGGCAAACTGGATTTCCTCCGGAGAGGAGCAGTTAGGCGTTAAGGTGGTGGGGAGTGGGGGTTACGAGGACTTCGAGGAGGAGGAGCCGGGGAGGACGAGGACCTCGAGGGCCTCGGGGGAAACCCCTCAGTCCCCTTTCCCAGCACATTTGCTTCGGGGGTTCTGCTGCAGACCCTCCCGTGGGAGTGTTGTGTAATACATAAACAAACACTTAAGGACACTGAATCTGAGAGGTGAAAAATGGAATTCCAAGAAGTTTCTGGCCCCACGTTTCTTGGTTAAGGGAGTATGAGCTCTTTTTATCAGCTCCATCTTGTGACTGAGGAAACTGAGGCTGCGGGGGTCAAGGAACTTACCCCAGGTCTGGCTTTAAGGAGTAAAGTGGTAACCCATTTTCCCATGCAATCATTTTTTAAAGCCTGGTAGACTGTGATTTTTGATCAGAGAGCCCTTGTCGTGGTGAAACCTGGGGATACTCGTGGGGAGCTCTGACAGTTTGTAACTCTGTCAGAGCATCCTTCCCTGCCTGCCTGTGCTGTGTCCCTGTCAGATGACTGTCAGACTCCTGGGGGGACAGACATCCCCTTACACACCTCTGTACATCTCACAGCAGTAGGGTAGTGCTTCAGGTAGAGTCAGGACTCAATGAGCACTAGCTGAATTGAATTAAACACACACACACTGGTAGAACAGTGGAGAAAGTGCAACACTAAAGCAATTTCTGTATGTGTCACATGTGCCAAACATTGTTTCACAAGAGATCAGTGGTGTCGATTCTTGCTGAATGTCTGTGTCCCCCCAGTTCTAGGTGAGGAGGCCTGTCCCAGTCCAGTTCCCTCTGGTTCACCTGGAGCTGGTGAGGATCAGGAAACATTGATTTATTCCTTCACCATGAGTCAGGAGACTGGGTTACCACTCTGGTTCTCTGTTCCCTCATCCTGTGACTCTGGGCAAATCCCTGCTGTCTCCTCACCTGGGCAGGAAAATGCTTGGACCAGACAGCTCCCTGGGGAGATGGAGAAAGGACTGAAGCTGCTGACCTGCAGTCAGGGACACACCAGGCAATCGGATCCAGAGCTGGAGAGCTGGCGGAATGTCAGGAAAGAAACAATGGCTTCTGCTGCATGTGGGAGAATTCAGACCAAAGTAAAGAGAGATGGCCTGGCAAAAATGCTGGGAGTATTAACAGGCAGTGGGTCATATGACACAGCACCCCCCCACCCTTCTAAGCCCGAGTCTGCTGGAGAGCCTCAGTGCAGACTCAGGGGGTCTCCTTTCCATCCCCCAGCCCAGCCGGCCGAGTGCTGAGATGGGAGGTCAGGGCCCACCTGGAACGTGCAGGGAATAGGGCCTCACTGTCCCGTGATGCAGCTCTTTGTGGTACTGACCGGGGCTTGTTGTTCTGTTCACGGGGGACCCGCAGGAGAATGACAGCCTGAGATACTCGGCCTTTGTCTTGTTTGGGCAACTGGCTGCGCTTGCTGGACGGAAGTGGAAGAGGTTCTTTACCCGTCAGGTGAAGCAGACTCAAGACTCCCTCCTGACCCACTTACAGGACAGGAATCCCCAGGTGGCCACGGTAAGTCTGAGCCTCTCCGGGCAACCGCCTGGAACCGCGGCACCATTTGCGGAGGTAGCGGGGAGACAGCCCTGCTGAGTCGGGATGCCAGTTCCGTCGTGGACGCTCAGAGGAGCATCCGTGTGAGTCCTGGAGAAAGTGCCTCTCTGATGGCTGATTGATTCCTCTCTGAGCAGGGGTGTTCTTTTCCATCTGCTCCTGCCCTGCCTGCCTGGTCCCGGCCCCTGTCAATGCCTGATACAGTCAGGTTGATGGAGAGGGGGCAGGGAGGTGCTGGCTGACTCTCGGGCAGCAGCTCCTCTTAGAGGAGATTCGTTCACTCCCAGCTAGCTTTTGTCATCACACCTGGTTCAGATTTGGCTTCTTAGCTTCCTGTGAAAAGTGAGAAGTGTGTTAATCGCTCAGTTGTGTGTGACTCTTTGTGACTCCATGGACTGTAGCCCACCAGGCTCCTCTGTCCATGAGATTCTCCAGGCAAGAATACTGGAGTGGGTTGCCATTCCCTTCTCCAGGGGATCTCCCCGACCCAGGGATTGAACCCGAGTCTCCTGCATTGCAGGCTGATTCTTTACTGTCTGAGCCACAAAACTTTGGTTTCATTCTTGGAGAAAATGTGTCCTAATGAGATTGCCTGGACCTCAGGGCTGCTTTAGAGCAGGTGAGAGTTTCAAAACCCTTAGGAGCAAGTGAAAGTGAAAGTCGCTCAGTCGTGTCTGACTCTTTGTCAGACCCCATGGACTACAGAGTCCATGGAATTCTCCAGGCCAGAATACTGGAGTGGGTAGCCATTCCCTTCTCCAGGGGATCTTCCTGACCCAGGGATCGAGCCCAGGTCTCCCGCATTGCAGGTGGATTCTTTACCACCTGAGCTATCAGGGAAGCCCAGCAAAGGGTTCCACTAAATCACTGATCTTCTTTAAGGTGGTGCATGAAGGAAGGAGAGGGAGAGAGAGAGATTGAGATCGAAATTGAATTTAGGAATCTAGCATGACTTTTTTAAATAGTTTTTTTTTTTAACTTTTAATTTTGTGTTAGGGTATCACCGATTAACAATGTTGTGACAGTTTCAGGTGAATAGTGAAGGGACTCAGCCATACATATACATGTACCTATTCTCCCCCAAACTTCCCTCCCATCCAGGCTGCCCCGTAACATTGAGCAGAGTTCCATGAGCTGTACAGTAGGTCCTTGTTGGTTATCCATTTAAATAGAGCAGTCCACTGCTTTTGATGAGAAAGGAAGGGTTGTGGTAAACTCAAGCTTTGCTCTCCCCACCAGTCCGAAGTTATAGACATGGTCGTTGCATAAACCATAAATCTTCTCAAAGTTATGTGCCAACCTGGATGGGAAGAATTTGGGGGAGAATGCGTACATGTATACGAATGGCTGAGTCCCTTCTCCATTCACCTGAAACTATCACAACATTGTTCATCAGTTATACCCCAATACAAAATAAAAAGCTTAAAGTTTGAAAAAATAAAAAAACATAAGCATAAATCCTTTAAGATTCAAATCTTCAAACTTCCTGGGAGTGACTTTCGCACACTCAGTGGTCCCCAGACCACACAGATAGGTGCATTCCTCCTCCTTGCTTGGGATTATAAAACTCTCATGTTTTTGACCATAACGTGGTAATATTATTTCTCTCAGGCCTGCAAAACAACTTTTCAAGCCTGTTCTCCATATCTGAGACAAAGCAAGGACTACAGCTTCCAGAATGAGGAGGATCAAAGGAACCCGAAACTCTGCCGGCAGCTGGTGAGTGAGCGAGGGCAGGAGACGTTCTTCCAATCCCTGCGCACTCGGTGCCGCGTTAAGGCGGAAGGTGGTCGGCACGCCAGAGAGTCACCCCCATAAACAACTCAGGCCGAGAATGTTTCAACTGTAGTTGACCCACAATGCAATGTAAATGGCAAAACGCCCAGAGGACTGTGCACAAATTACATTGGCAGTTCCTGTTTAGATCTCTGTGTGTGTATTAGGTCGCTTAAGTTGTGTCCGACCCCTTGTGACCCTATGGACTGTAGCCCGCCAGGCTCCTCTGTCCATGGGATCCTCCAGGCAAGAATACTGGAGTGGATTGCCATGCCCTCCTCCAGGGGATCTTCCTGACCCAGGAATGGAACCTGCGTTATGTCTCCTGCAGTAGCAGGCGGGTTCTTTACCACTAGCACCACCTGTCTTAGATCTCTGGGTGAATGCAAGTGATGATTCCTCCTCCTCTGAGAACCTGAAAGTTGTTTATCCTCAAGCTCAGCCTTTGATGACCATCAACTCATTCTAGAGTCGAGGAGGTTTACCAGATCCTTCCCTCACGTGTCCCTTTGCCAATTTCTTTCAGAGCCACTACCATCCCGAGCTCCTGCAGTTCTTCTATGCAAATAAAATCCTGTAAACACAGAGCGGCAGGGAGGTGGGTCCAGTGAGCGCATGGCTGGGGGCTGATATTTCCCCTCTTTTAACCCTTTGGGTGCTCTGTTGCCTCTGGTGATTGTGATAGAAGATGGAATGTTGGGAGAGCAATTGATGGCAAACTTAAGGCCGTGGAATTGTATAGTTGCATCGAAACTAAATTCTAAATATCTTATGTCTCATTTTCTTCCACACATGTTTGATGACAAGGTGCGTCCTTTCTTTAAAACATTTAAAGTATATGTGGATTCAGTGCTTTTTTCTCAGCATTTTTCTTCTTAAGGATATCTCTGTCGCCAACCTTTCTTTTTGATTTTTAAGGCTTAGGAGAATATTACCTGAAGTTTTTCTTTTTTTTTTTTAATTTGCTATTGATCCTTTGCCATTTGCTATTAATACCTTTTTCTGGCGAGACCTACTTAAAGTTGGCCAAGGTACCAAGAAGTTAGTGTGGAGGGCAATTTCTAGTTCATCGTCATCAACAGTCAGTATCTCCAAGATCATTCCAAACAAGAGTTAATAAAGAGGAAAAAAAAATCAATGAAGCGTGTGTTGAAAAACCTTGAGCTAATGGTAATATGTGGAATACTAATAATGAATAATGTGTATTGAGCATGTTTATAGTTCACTGGGCACTCTCTAAGCACTTTGCAAGTATTATTTAATACTCACAACAAGCCGTGAGAAAGGTACTATTAGTACCCTCATTTTATAGGTGAGAAAACTAAAGTGAAAGTCACTCAGTCATGTCTGACTCTTTGCAATTCCGTGGACTATAGCCTGCCAGGCTCCTCTGTCCATGGAATTCTCCAGGCCAGAATACTGGGGTGGGTAGCCATTCCCTTCTCTAGGCGATCTTCCCCACCTGGGGACCAAACCCAGGTCTCCCGCATTGCAGGAGGATTCTTCACCATCTGAGCCACCAAGGAAGCCCAAGAAAACTAAGGCACAGGGAAATTAACTTGCCCAAGATTTCCCAGTAATTAATCGAACTGGAATTCAAATCCTGACTACAGGGGCCTACATTCAGTCTGCACACTGCCCTGTTATGGAATAACTGATGGATGGTTAGAAATGTAGAAAAATAAAACTAATTCAAAAAAACCACCGCTGCTGCTCTTTTGTTTGACTCAGTTAACTTTTGCTTTTATGTGTACTGATGATACATTTTTATTAATCATCTCTTGGCTACTGTGTCAGTTTTTTGGTGATCAATCCTAGTTATAAGTGGGGTCACATATTAGTCTTATAATGAGTTAAATTTCACAGTCCCTTTTGTAAAAAATCTTATAAATCTTATAAATTTATAAAAAGGAAAAAGTCTTATAAATCTTATAAAAAGGAAAATCTCACAGTCACTCCCACCTTCCCTCCAGTCAGATGTCTTCTCAGTCTTCTCCTGGAAATCCTGGTATTTACTGCTGATCTTGGCATTTGGGTCATACCTGGACCAACTATGTCCAGCCTTGAAAATGGAAAACACAAGAAGGTCACAGATGCTACAGAGGGATCGTGAGGTCAGCCTGAGCACCAGGAGCTCAGTTTTCTGTCCTCTCTCTCCAAAGACAGGACCGCATAATGCAGACGAGGGGGTGAGACGTGTCCTGGGAGAGACAGGCTGGGGGGGGTGGGGCAGAAGGGACGGCTGGAGCCAGGCGTGAGTGGGCTTGCTTGCTTCCTGTCTTGACACTTGGGTACTAGACAGCAGGGGCTCTAGGGAGTCACCCAGACGCGGGGCTGAGCTGGGGGATGATTCTGAGCCGAGCCCTCTTCCTTCTCAAAACTAAGCTGCAAGGTTGGTTCAGAACTACTGCGGTTCTAGTCAGTGATCAGTGACTGCGTGAGAAATGACCACATTCAAACAGGTGGGGGTGGAGGTGGGCAGGCAGGTTCCACACCAGGCAGCACAAACATCTGTGCCCTTGAGGCCCCTCGGTTGGTTAAAGTTGTGGAAGATGCTGTAGAATCACTTTAAGATTTGTGGTATATCGTTACTTTGGTGTCCTCCAGGGAATCGGGCCTCCTGTCCTTGGGTGACTGTCTGCCCTCAAATTGGGGCTGGTTTCGGGACCTGCTTTAGCCAGTAGCATGCTGGCAGGGCCACGTGCTGGTTCTAGCTATGCTTTAAGAGCCCCAGCAGCTTCCTGGTTTGCAGTCTGGGTGAAGCCAGCTGCCACATCAACAGCCAGACTACCAGGAAGGAAGAAGAGCGGCTGAAGTCTCCGTTTTGGAAGGAAGACCAAGGTAACCACACGGAGATGGCATGTGGAGGAGAACTGAGGACCCCTATTATGGGGTTCCCCTCTCAAGAAGGTTGTCCTCTTGCTCTCTGGATAGGTCCTGCTTGGCCAGTCCCTGCTTCACTCACATGACTATACAATCCTCTTAATTATAAGGCTTAATTATCCCCTGGTAACTGATGAGGCCACCTGATGTCAATTCCCCCTATAAATGGTAGCTTCCTCCTTCCCGGCGTGGAGAAGGAGGGTGCTGGCATGTCCCGCCTGCCCTCTGCCACACATGGTGGGTTGTTGCTCCAGGAGCCTTTGTGTAAGACCCCCTGTCTAAAAAACCGTAGACGTCCCATTGCCATCTCTGGGCTTTTTCTTTGCTGTCTTTGGCCTCAAGGCTGGGCAACTACAAAGCTCACAGGCCTTCAAGGTGCAGGCCACCCCGGCCCTTGCTGAGATCTGAGACCCAGACATATGACACAAGTTGGCCGTTCTAGCCAGACCCCAGTCAGTCAAGCTACCCTTGCTAGCACCACATGGAAAAGCACCACTTGTCTCCATCAAGACCATCCCAAGTTGCAGAATTGCGAGTAAGGAATCAAGTGAGTGGGGTTTTCCAGGTGGCAGCAGTGCTAAAGAACCCATCTACCAGTGCAGAGGTGTATGAGAGTTGAGTTTGATCCCTGGGTCGGGAAGGCCTCCTGGAGGAAGGTGTGGCAACCCTCGCCAGCATTCTTGCCTGGAGAATCCCACGGACAGAGGAGCCTGGCGGGCTAGAGTCCATGGGGTCGCAAAGAGTCGGACACGACTGAATCAGTTTAGCACACAATCAGGTGAGTGTTGTTTTTTAGTCACTGACTTTTGGGACAGCTTGTTACTCAGCAAAAAATAAAAATAAATAAATAAATTCTTGTCACTAGTGTTGCCTTTTAGCTGGTTTTGTTCTGCTCTTGATGAGGTGTCTTTGAGTTTAACCTATCCTTCTAGAAAGTTAAGTCGTCATGGAATTCTGTGATGGTGAGAGCAAGGGCCCATGAGTTGTTTTTCTGTCTCTATCTGATGTTGTCTATGATAAGGAAACGGGCTTCCCTTGTGATTCAGCTGGTAAAGAATCCGCCTGCAATGCAGGAGACCTGGATTCAATCCCTGGGCTGCGAAGATCCCCTGCAGAAGGGAAAGGCTACCCACTCCAGTATTCTGGCCTGGAGAATCCCATGGATGAGTCTATGGGATCACAAAGAGTCGGACACGACTGAGCTTGCACTTCACTTCACTTCATGATGAGGAAACATTTGGTGAATGACTGAGTAGTTCCAAACTAGTGGGAATGGAGTTCAAACTCTGCCATCCCGGGCTCTCAGCCAAGCGCTTGCACACTTCCTTTCCAGCCTCTTCTGTTCCCCTCTCTGCTTCCGTTCAGCTTGGCTCCCATCTTTCCTACACACTGCCTGGGCTCCTGGGCTCCCTGCCTCTGCTCGGTCTGTTCTTCCTGCTTCAGATCCCCTCCCCCACTCACCCGGGCACACTTACCCGTACACGCGTGCACATCTCACGTGTGTCTCTTGTCCGTCCTCCAAGACCTGGGTCAGATGCCTGATCCCCTCCGTCAGGGAAGAACTCCCCTCTCTGAATGCCCAGAGCATTCCAGCCACCTTATGCCACTTAACATGTTCTGCCTCATTGGAAACTTTTAACCTATAGGTCTGAAACTGCTCAAGGCCACACCCTGCCTTTCATATTTTTGTATCTCCTGCACAGAGCTGTGTTCAGGTGCTTCAATCATGTCTGACCCTTTGTGACCCCGTGGACTGTAGCCCACCAGGCTCCTCTGTCCATGGGATTCTCCAGGCAAGAATACTGGAGTGGGTTGCCGTGCCCTCCTCCAGGGGATCTTCCCTGACCCAGGGATTGGACTCGCATCTCCTGTGTCTCCCGCATTGCAGGCGGACTCTTTTTACCACTGAGCCTTCGGGGAAACCCTTTTATCTCCTATATGACCTCAGAGGTACTCAGTAAGTGATTAGAAAATGCATGTTGACTGTGGGGAGGAAGAGTCTGAAAGTCATCTGAAGTTATCGCTCCTCGGGAGGAGCCCGTTTTGACAAATGAAAGTGATCCTTTCTCTCCTTATAACCCATCTACAGGTTACTTTTATAACATAAAATACATGTATTTCAAGTTTTTCTTTCCCCAAGCGGTGCTTGTTAATCTGAATGCCAGCCTAAGGCCGTAATTTGACATTTCTTACTTTTAAACCGTAGACATAGGACTGTTGAATGAATGAGAGAGAAAGGAAAGTCAAGCGCTGCCAGGCTAAGCGGTCAGGGTGGGGATTGCATAAAGCTTGGCCCCTGCTTTAGGTCACTCATGAGATGGGGTTTTCTCAAAGGGAAAGGAGACGTGAGAGAAAAAGGCACAGAAGGAAGCTGAGGACCTAACGGGTGTGATCAGTACTGGTCATCGGTGTGAACTGAATCCTGGGGAGTAATTGAGAGAATGCTTCACACATTAGAAAAACACTAGAGTGGGTTTTGTTAAAAGAAATGGCAGCCAAGCAGGAGAGCCAGCAGGTAGTGCTATAAACCAGGCAGACACATATTTGTACTTTTTGACATTTTCCAAGTTTTCTGCAGTAAGCCTCTATTACTTTTATAATCATAAAACACACACCAAAATGGTCCTTTAAGGTAAAAATTAAATGCCTATCAGTGTATGAAGTGATATGCTTTGAAAAGCCCGGGATGGCCATTGTTCACTCTCAGTAAATATGTGTTTGCCTTTGTTCTCTTGTGGCATTTGTGTTTTAACTTGATGACATAACCTGTTCATAAGTGAAACTGCTTATGGTTGACTATCAGTGTATTTATATGACAGAATTTACATTCGTCCAGTCTGACCATAGTACAGGAAGTATTTTCCGTATTTATGTATGTGTTAAACATTCTTAGAAAAAACTTGAGTCCTAGGTAAATCCAATACATCCCAATTTATTGGGATGAGAAAGAAGGTTTGATATCCAAAGGCTCCTATTATTTACCAAGTTAAGCACAGACCTCTAAGCCTGACACATAAGATTCTTCATAGACACCAACCTCTAATTTCCCTCGGCACTTCTTAAATTCCTACTTCCTGAATGCTTCACCCTCCATGTCCTTGCTTCCACCTACCATTTCCTGGGTCAATTCCAACTGCCCTTCTTCCGAGGGAGGGTAGAGCAGTTGGGAGGATGGGGCCTGGAATTAGGCCCCACGAGTGTGAATCTGGCTCTGTCACTCACCCCCGTGACCCTGTAAGACAGTGAACCCCGCCTCAGTTTGCTGATCTCTAAAATGGACACAATAACCCAACTCAGAGCTGCTGTTCTACAAAGATTCAATTAGATTACAGGGAGCACGTCACACAGTGCTTGGCTCATAGATGGTGCCCTGCAAACACTGGTTAATTTTGTTCCTTACCTGCAACCCACTTTCCAGATATTGTTCCTTCT